GGGGGGGGGGGGGGGGGATCCATTATTCCCGAGTTCCAAAAGCTGCGATTAGTCCTAAGGTTGGCTGTAGATGGATTTCTCTGTCATCCAAAAAAAACAAGTATCTTATTGGCTTCACCTGTGGTTTAATTACTCACTTTTTCCTCGAGGGTTGTGACCATGATGTAAAAAATGCTTTATCTGGAAGAGGTTTTGGTTGATCTTTATTTTAACTAAGTTTTTACTGATTGACTATACTAATTGCTATGTATATACATCCGGACATCAAATTATTGTTTCGAAGCACAAACATAGTTGTATAATGCTGATTCTTCAAACATTTGCAGGTTGCACTCCTTTGCATTGGGCAGCATTAAGAGGAAATGCAGAGGCTTGCACTTTACTTGTACATGCAGGCACAAAGGAGGACGTAACAGTCAAAGATAAGGCTGGATTTACTCCTGCAGAGCTTGCATCTGATAAAGGTCATCGGCAAATAGCACTTATACTTGTAGGTAACTCTTTGTATAGAAATTATCTATTGCCCATAGTGACAGTTTCTGAAGAATTGAAAGATTTGCCTAGAAGTTCTGTGTGTGGTTGCTTGTATCCGAGTACGATGACGAATGAGATTATATATAACATATGGTGCTATCTTAATCCCCCCAAAAGGAAAATAGTACTATTGTGAAGATTTTGTTATCTGACGTGCTGGGTTATGCAATAATATGATGATCCTTTTATATTCATGTATGTATGTTTTTCCTTTTCTTTGTAAATAGGGATTTTGGGGGTGGGGGTCATGTTGCTGGGCGGGTATTTGTGATGAATTTGGAACGACTTTTTCGTTAAATGATTGAATTTGGATTCTTGCTGAAATCCATAATTTGCATGGATGACTTGGACTGTCATGGATTTCAAGTCTCAAATAAATACCTTAGAGATGATGAAGATCATTTTGATTCACTTCTAAGTGGTCCTGCTATTTAATTGAATGTTTCTGGGTTAATCTTTCTTGAGCTAAATACTTTGTACAAGTGGTTTTAATTCATTTTGTTACGAGAAGAATGGATGTCTAAAGACTCTAAACTAATGGGGCGTCCAATTTATGATTCCAAAAGGTAAAAGCTTCTTCAAACTATAAATTCTCAAACTCATGGCGAACCTAATAATTCATAGTGAAATAATGCTTGTGAGCATGTTTCAGGATATGTTAATGCATTGGCCATCTCTAGTTTTTGTGCTTCACCTCCTACTCTTTTCATATGATGCACAATTTGAATCAAAGGTGAATTCATTTATTGTAACACATATACTGCTCTACTTTTGTGGCTCTTATCCCATGAGATTTTTGAGATGGAAAAGGGAAGTTAGCATGATGAAACTCATAAAGCTTGCAGAGTAAGTTCCAGTTTCATCATATCCCTTGCACAGAAGAATGATTGCCTTGTGAGGTGTTAAAAAAATTGTTGGATTGTATCAGGATAAAACCTTTTACCTTTTCTGGTTGCCGCAATGAAAGAGGGAGCGCCTGCAGTGTTCTGGTAGCACATGACACTGTATTGGAAAAGGCAGTCCTGGCTGTTTGCATTGAAATTTGACTTATTATATGTTGCTGCATCATTACCAAAGCTAGAAAGTTTGGCATGGTTGCATTTGGCATTATGTAGTTCAGATGTGGAATGGTGGGTCCTCTAAAATGCAATAAATGAGAGCTAGCAAATAAGGTGCTCACTGCTCATCCTTGGTGATTCCTCTGGGATTTTCTTTTGTATGACTGTAGTGTTTGGGCCCAGCTTGCGCAAGCACCTCGACTATTCCATCGGATACCTGTTACCCACCAGCACAAGTACCGGGTAACTCTGCCCACCAATGCTTAGACAGATGGGAAGAAATCACCTAGTGTTTTTTGCCTCCACTGGGATTTGGACTGAGACCTCATGGTTCTCCTCCCACTTAATTGACCCCTAGGCTACATCCTTGGATGCTTCTCTGAGATTTATGCTTACATGCTTTCAGTTTCATTTTTGTTGCAAACATTATACTTTTATGAGATTATGCTACCAGATTTCTTATGATTTGCTGATTTTATTACCTTCTGTTGCGTGTGATATAATTAAATTGTCAAAGGCTGCATTATCAGTTGGCAATAGAACCTCAACCATCACCCACTACAACGAACTTAAATATATGAAAACCGAAAAGGTTAGTTAACAACATATAGGAGTCTTGTGCTGCACGAAATAAGGAAAGTTTCCTAATTCTTGGAATTCTTTATTTATGACATGATTTTTAGAATAGTCTGCACAATATCCTTTATTTTTCTCATGGCTAACATAATCAATTGAAGCGAAACGTATAGTAAGTATTCATATAGCTGGCCCCAACTAGCTTGCAATTGAGACGTGATGTTATTGTTGTTGTAATGTAATCATTATGTACACTCAGTGCAGTATTCTTAATATTTTCTTGACTTTCTAAAAAGACTCAGTGGTGAAGATTTTATTAGGTCATCCTACTTTTTCTGAAAGTTTAATGCTTAACTCTCCTTAGTAGTTACTCTTTTTCTGATAACTACTTTCCGGGTTGCTGCTCAATCAGTTTATATTAGAATTTCAACATCCTTCTCCCCCCAAACAAACACAAAACTATTAAAAAAGTTTAGCGGCTAAGAAAATTAGGTCATCTGTCATCCTACCATTTTGAAGAACCATGCTGATCCTTCTATCTATTGTTATGCAGTTATTATCTATCATCTGCTTAGCTGTGTCTTGAGGCTGGAAGTATTTTGTGTGAATGACAGTCTGAAATTCAATTCTGTGCAGTCTAATGCCCAACGTTCACTGCAAAAGCAGTGGAAAGACAATGTTTTCCCTGCTAAAATGGGGGGAAAAGGCTACGCTCCAATTCTATTCTCTGTTGTTGTTGTCAACATCATTCTCTTCATCAGTTCAGTCCTCTTTGGTGGGTGATGGTACTTCTTGTGGTATTTTGTTTTTTCTTCTAGTTGGAGGCAGCAACTTGCTAATTGTTACTGGACTGGATCTTGTTTTCACTAGCTCCTGGTCTTACAAAAGTTACTGCTGTTGTTGCACTTTGGGGATGGACTGCTGCTTCCCTGGCAGTTGGCGCGCTCCTGATGTTAGTGCGTTGCAGTAGGTAACTTCTCCTGTTTAATTACATGAATGATATTGAGGCAGCAAAGCCCACTTAATTTACTCTGTAGATTGTACTAAACCCCGTATTGTATTAAAGCCAATAGGAATTTTGTGGGCTTTATTCTATTAAAATATCAACGTAATCAGAAGCTTCATCCTCCCTTCCCCTGTTCCTTTCATTTTCGCCACTATCATTGATGAACCATCTAATCAATCAATGCGCTCTTTCTTGTCCTTTATATCACTATGATCCTTAGGCATTGGTTATAGATTTTTGGAGTTTGTCCTGTACAATGTTGGATTTAAATGAATGGGCTTGTTTATGTGGCAGTATTCTTGGCCCTGAAAGTTATACTTAAACGTGTTGTCTTATGTGTTTCTTTTTGGTAAATATATGCCTGCACTTGGCTTCTCATGCCTCGTTATGGCAGGATTCTTGGCCCTGAAAGTTATACTTAAACATGTTGTCTTATGCGTTTCTTTTTGGTAAATATATGCCTGCACTTGGCTTATCATGCCTCGTTATGGAGCTAAAGATCATTGTTTCATTCTCATTTGCAGTAAAGATCCAGGTTACATCAAGACAGGGGTCACTTGTCAACCTGATGCTCAGGTATTCACTCTCATTTTGGATTTATTCAACAGCAATTTTAATATCTTCTAATTTACTTAATGATGTTAGCTGATTCTTCCAGGATGCACTATTGAATATTGATCTGAACAATACTTCCAGCTGGACTGGGAACTGGTCTCAGCTTTGTCCCACCTGCAAGGTTTCTCAAAAAAACCTAGTCTTTTTAGTTGTTACTACAAGATATATACTACCTTTAGATGATGCATTCATTTTGTAATGTTGATCGTTGAACATTTTTATGCAAGATCATACGACCTGTTCGGTCAAAACACTGTCCTACTTGCAACCGTTGTGTTGAACAATTCGATCATCATTGTCCCTGGGTCTCAAATTGCGTGGGGAAGGTATGACCTTATTTAAAAGCTACTAAAGGAACATATACAGTATACAAAAATCTGCTAGCCATTGATTTTTGTCTAATTCTTTTTTACTGGATACCTGATTTTTCCTTTTGTTTTGTCCTTTGCGGCTACCAGTCTGGTTAGATGCAATACAAATGAGTGTTAGTATTTTGTTTTTTACTTCATATTCCTGTTTTCACTCCTATGTTTCCTCACATCTTCTGTAAACTACGTTAATACTACTGAAGAGTTTCTTGGTCCATGGAATTTAATATTATTGATGCGGCTTGCGGGATATAAATCTCTAATCCTGTAACTGTGGATTACAGCAATTATATAACTACAATAACGCTTCCCTTCTGAGTTTTGTCGGGCATCAATCTAGTTTCTTATTCCTTTTTTTTTTTTTTTTTTTTTTTTTTTTTTTTTTTTTTTTTTTTTTTTTTTTTTTTTTTTTTTTTTTTTTTTTTTTTTTTTTTTTTTTTTTTTTTTTTTTTTTTTTTTTTTTTTTTTTTTTTTTTTTTTTTTTTTTTTTTTTTTTTTTTTTTTTTTTTTTTTTTTTTTCCCTTTTGACTGTCTTGCATCAGTTTGTTGACTTCCTCATTAAATGCAGATTACGGCAATTCTTGCATATTCCAAGCTATAGGAGTTTTGCAAGTATTTTTCTTCAATTCCTGCAGTTTTGACCATTGATTTCATTGTCATTCTTGCTGAACCTTGCAGAGGAATAAGTGGGACTTCTTCGTTTTCCTTTGCATGGGTTCTTTGACATCTATAATTGGTGCTGCGGTAGCTGTCCAAAGTATGTTAAAAGCACTTTATCTTTAGTCTTTAAGACTGGTAGTAGCTTATACTAATAAAATGACACTGGTTGCTTAAGACAACTATAAACTTATTACCTCTTGCAGGAATTTGGACATCAGTACCATCATTGGTAGATGATGAATCTTGGTTACATCATGTTGTCTTTGCGTATCCCAGTATAATCGCTTTTCTGTTCATGGATGGGGTTATTCTGATTGCTGCTGTAACTCTGTGTGTAGTACAAATATCCCAGGTATAGATTAGATTCCTTGGTTTTCTTGTCCTTCCTGGTCGTTAAACAACTGAAGCCTATAGATATTTTGCTCATGATTCACTTTAGAGGTCAGTCCTAACAAACCCCCCCC